GTCTCTCCCCTTTCCTCTTAAAGAGCTTCCTTGATACCAGGTTGCTGAGGTGGGAGGGAAGTGATAAGTGGAGGTGGGGGAGTAAAGGGCAAGTTTCAGGTCAGTTTTCTAGTAACTATGAAAGCGTTCAGGTTGTCCCAGTTTAAAAAAAAAAAGGGTAAATCTAAAGAATGATTATAGACCTGAGCGTCTTTGAGTATTTGTAAAACAAAAAGAAAAAAAGGCTATTGAACTCCACTGGGCAGTTGGCATAAATAAATTAAGTTTGGGAAATCTGAGTAAAAATTAAAAATAAAGCTGGGTTATTTGTAAGGTATCTTAAAGTAATGGGTGAGATGTGGTTCTGGGGTAGGAACCCGGTTTTTATGGAGGGGGGTGTGACAGCCTCCTGCCAGCAGGGGCTGCTGTTTCTGTATTGCTCCTTTTCGGTTTGTCTTTGCAGGTGGCTGGTGTTCTGCCTCACCTGGGCGGACCTGGCCAGTCTCCCAGGTGTATTTCATTCTTTCTCTCTCTCCTCCCCTCCCTCCCCCCTCTGGTGCGTTTGGCTTTGCAGTGCACTCGGCGCCGTTCTGCTCGACCCAGCCCAGCTCAGCCTGCTAATTCGCCACCTCAGGGCTCTTCCCTGGCACCATGTACTTGTTTGCTTTAGTTCGATTAATGTAGTTTTCATTAGTATGTATTGCTCTTTTTCATTAATAAAGTTTTCATTTTTTATTAAGACCATGCACTTCCCTGCTTTTTTTCCCCACATCTTGAGCTGGGTCATGGCAATGGCCACATGAGAAGCTCAATGTTACTTTTCAAAACAAAATGATGTACAAGCTTAAAAAAAATAAATAAATAAATAATAATTAAAAAAAGGTAATCAACCAATGAATGTTGGTTTAAAAATGGAAAACTGAAACAAATTTGACGGTGGAAGCTAGAGAGGTGCTGTGCAGTAGGATCTCGTCATGCCCAACCCACCAGGGCCGAGGAACTGGCAGCCGCGGGCACGCACGGCGGCCCACAGGTTGGAGGAGAGCTGCTGGGGGTTCTGGTGCTGCAGGATGAGCTCGGTGACGGTGCGCTCTCCCAGGGACCGGGCAGCGCGCATGGCGCGGATACGGCCCTCCTCCTCCACCAGCTGGCAGTGCACCAGCGTCACCAGCTTCCGCTGCATGGGTCTACTGAGCATGCTCTGAGCAGCGCTGTTCAGCCCCACCCCTGAGAGAGAGAGAGAGAGAGAGAGAGAGAGGAGGAGGGAGGGGGAGCGAGAGAAAGAAAGAGAGAGAGAGAGAAAACAAAGGTAGTTTTGAGCGATAGACAGCCCCATTTAAAAAATAACTTAAGAAAAAAAAAATTGATCTTTGGCATGCGTGGATTTTACCTCCACATTTCACTGACACACACACTGGCACTCAAAACACACTGATAACGCAAGCATAGTGGGAGTCATGTTTTCCTTCCAGAGTGCATAGTGGTCCTCAGATGACCTGTAACAGTGTGCTTACTTAGCCATGCAGAGAGCCACTCACTACACCCTCAGGACACTTGCACACAGCGCCCCTCCCCTCCCCCTCCCTACAGCATGCATGTTTTTAAGCAAACGCCCAGAGGACAGAGCCGCGAGGCCCGGCAGGTGGCTCACCGGTGCAGTGCGGCTCACCTCTGCTGCTGCCGAGAGGTTTGAGGTAAAGAGCCAGCTCCTCCACACACTTGCGCGCCTCATCATAGTGCTTGGTGTCCTCCGCACCCGTCAGCAGGGTGAGGGGCTGCTGCTTGGGCACCTGCGGGCACATGAGGAAAAACCAGTCAACTGCCGTTCAATATTAAACAGCAAACCTCACATACGTCTTTGCAACAGCAGCATTCTGGGCAACACCACCATTTATACAGCCAGTCTGGGGTCAAATTTCCAGGTTTCCATTTCAATTGAGATACTCTCCAGGGAATTCCAGACTTGCCCACATCGCAAACACTTCCAATCATAATGCAATCATAATTTACTGGCACAGCAGTCACGGAGCAGAGAGGGGGGAGTGACTGCGGAAGCAGAGAGCTATGTTTACCAGGAATCACATCATGACTCAACAGGATTTGCCACTCACTTACTGACTGCCATAGTGGAATGTCAACATTTCAACTAAAGGTCTTGCTTTTACCAAGAAGCCCATCAGCAGGCCTAAATGAACATGTGAAATGGAAAACAAGACAAGGCCCCCTTACTCTCAAAACTGCTGACAGTGGCTGACTGGTCTACCTGCAGAGGTGAATATGAAGCACCTTCCTGTGACTCATGTCTGTCTCTCCTGGCCCAGGCCTGAACTGTGGAGGAGGCTGACATCACACAGGCTTGAAGAAAGCAGTCTTTCTGCCCAGGCACACACTCCACAGAAGGTTAAACTAATACAGGAACTACTACACAGCTAGGAGAAGCATTTCTTTTTAAACGGCACTTCCTTTTCAGGCCTTGAGCATTACATAGCACTCGGCCAAAGTATATAAAGCTTTTGCGTATTTATTGGCACCAAAGGTTAAGGAGGAGAAGAACTTAGCTAACACACAGGATATTACATTCCTCTGAGGACTGTCATACAGACAGATGGTCCCCCCCCCCCCCCCTCCCCTTGACTAACAGAAATTGCCTCAGCTCAGTTTCCTGTACTGTTTTATATCAGGTTGGAGTTTCAGTTGCAAATTCTTCCTGCATGAGCCTCAGGGTCGGAAAATTAACCTTTTCCCCCCACCAGCCACAGTGATAGGGGGATTCCAATTTCTAACGGCCGCTCACATTTTTTACTGGCTTTGGTCTTGTTTGCTGCATTCTGTGGCAGCATGTAATTTATGTATGCTTTGATTAAATAATTTAAAAAAATATAAACCATAATCCATAATATTCTGGTATGTGGTTTATTTAAGGTATACAGAGAAGGATTCCCCCCAAAAAAAAAAAAAAACACCTTGAAAGGACTCATACTAATCTAATGCCTCTCAATCATTACTTTATGACACACTAGATGCGTGCAGTGGCGTGTGTATCTACAAAGACCCTGCCATCTGCCAGCACTTTATTTTTCTTGGTTCAGGACATGTCTGGGCGTGAGCCTTTGACCGGTGGGCGTGTGGCCCCCAGCCTGTAGCAGCGTGCAGGGAGCGAGGGTGGGACACGGTGCTGCTGTCCTGTCCTTACCATGCTGATTTTAGTCATGCTACTCACACAACTTCACCACAGCCAGGCATCACTAGGTAGCCCGCATAGTACTGCAGGCTAAAAAGGTGTATTCTATCAACTTTGCTGGCCAATACTGAATATCATTAATTATGTAGAATAGCACCTTCAATCAATGTTATTCACTTCATCTGTCCGTGGTTTGAATGTTGGCTGATCTGAGCAAGGAAAAAAATGTCATACACGTCTGAAGCCATCTGTTTTACAAGCAGCAGCCATTTTCTGTCAAAAAAACAAACTTTGATTTATCAGTCAAATCTTTTAAAAAATGGTTAATGGCACTTCATGAATGTTTCCTCAACCTTTTTTCTCTGCAGTCTAGCAACCTGTGTCAGGTTTGGTTTATTTTCTTAAAGGAAAAGGCAAGTAATACAACATGTAAACGCAAATGCAAAGAGCAGACTTTCTGCTTTACACAATGATTATTTTGAAGATTTTCTCTCCTCAAATAAAATCAACAGTTTAAGTTGTTAAAGTCGGTCTATGGGCCACTTCTGCGCGTACAGCCACGTTACAATGTTGCCCAATCAGGAGAGTCCATACCATTTCCGGTATGAAGCGAGTTTGGCTCCATGAGAATGACAAATGCTGTAAATGCAGTGTGATCAAATGAAGAGGTGTCATTTCATTTTCACTAATGCAAACTTCACAAGTGGACCTGAGTTGATACAACCACAAAGCCACGATGTGCAGCTTAAGGATGTGCAAATGGGACATATGATTCAAATAGGGAGAGTTTTAAGTCCATTGAACTGACCTTCCCACACATTTCCTGCATTTAGACCTGCCATACTAAAACAATGGTTAAAGAACATGGGCTCCACTGGCTTTAAACCTGAAGGCTATTTGCAGTTATGTTCAGAACATATTTCACCTCATGGTTTTCAACAGGACCAGTTTTTAAAATATTCCATCAGCCCTACAAAACACGACAAGTATGAAAATCAGATACAATCCCAACCCAGTTACAACTACAACCTCAGGGCTCAGTGTCTCACGGGACAGGAATATGCAGAAGAAATAAGGAGGTTGAGGACACCATAATACAGAATGAATATGTAGTCTAAGAAATATTCCTTAGCTCATTAACCAGTGGTTAGCAATAGCATCGATCCACTGAAATCCTTTATAATCCTGGTTCCTTGCAGCTGTCACATCTTTAGATGGTATATTACAGTATGCTCAATAGCCTTAATAGTATCCGCATTATCACAAGATAGCAGTGGGGCCGAACTGTCATCACTTAAGCAGCTGTTAAGCCAAGATGGCGACGCACACAAACTTGCTTGCTGTAGCTTTTCTGATCCTCCAAAGTGGGTGGGGAAACCTGCCCAAAATGAATAGCTGGTCATTTTTGAAACTACAGGCCATGTGATTTCTGACAGAGATTGGTTTCAACATTGGAGGTCTCTTCCTTCATTTCTGGTAACTCAGTTACTGTTTTGTTCTTTACTCCTCTCGTGTTTCCTTTCCGTGCATTTCGCACTCGTTTTCACTTCGCTTGATTGTTGTCTTTGTGTATTTCTGGTTTCTGTCTCCCTTCGCCAGACTGTAGTCTTCGGTGTTTAAATATAGCTACAACACATCCGTTCATTAGGGAATCAGTTCCCACCGCTGGCAGTTCTGGTGAGAGGTGCTTCTCCCTGTTTCTCCTTCATCCAAGACAGAGTGTGCATCTGTCCTGCGTGCCCTGATCAATTCAACTTGATACCCTGGCAACTGACCTCTGAACAGCCATTTCTGCGTGCATTTCGTCGGGGGGTCCAGAGGCGTGCTCCCCAGAAAATTTTTCACGGTAGCACAGTGGTTAGCACTACTACCTCACAGCAAGAAGGCAGTTGGTTCGAATCCGTCCTGGGACCTTTCTGTGTGGAATTTGCATGTTCTCCCCGTGTTCGCGTGGGTTTCCTCCGGGTACTCCGGTTTCCCCCACCCACAAAAACATGCATCATAGGAACACTCCTACCAGTACCCCTGGCCAAGGAACTGGCTTTAGAACTGGAGTTGGTCCCCGGGCACTGCTCTGTGGCTGCCCACTGCTCCCAACTATAGGATGGGTCAAATGCACAGGATAAATTACCCCATGGGGTTCAATATCTTATCTTGTCTCAAATTCAGCTCTTTAAAATTATCTAGTTCTGGCAATGGTATTGTAGGCTACTGAGTCATGTCCCACAGTGGAGTGTGGTGAAAAATCCCGAGTGCCAAATATGAGAGGTCAATACATTAATGAAGACAGCTCCCTGTCGAGGTAAATAGGAAGCCTAATAGGTTGACAAAATATGAAAATTTTGCATGCTTAGACTCAAAATTTCCACTTATCCAATTGGGCAAGGAGTCACAATATCACCTGTCCAAATATGCTTTTTACTTGTCCCAAACAATCTGACACGTGTTAATATCAATCGATGCTCCGGTGTTCTGAATTTGCGACAGATTAATGACAGAAAATCTGTCAACAGATTTCCAACATTTATTCTTATGATCCACAGTAAGCAAAGAGGAAGGAAAGAGCTGGAAACTTTTACAACAAAATCTAAATGAGGCCAACTTAATATAGAGCAGTTTCTAAGCCTCATATCCAGTGCTATCTAAATAAAAATAAATAATGGGACATTAATGGAGCGCTGCAGAGAGCCTAGAAAGCTCACTTGTCTTGTAATTGTGGCCTGCTCATAAGTTGTGACGACACTGAGGTAAAGCCGAAGCAGCAGCAATACTTCGTGTTGCAGATTTTCAAAGTGGATTGTATCATAACTGAGCTTTCAGTATGTCGCAAACTACACAGTGCACCTCTGCGCGATCCTGATGCACTACTGAATCGAGACTTACAAATGTAGTATCATTATGAAGCCATTATATCAACTGGTTGACATGTAGGTCAGGTGTAGAGGGGGGTTCACCAACCAAAGTCTTTGATGCTACTTATGCTGTTAAGAAAGTTCTGATCTATGAAGAAAGGGAGGCATGAAAGGTCTCCTTATTAACATAGATGTATTCATGGTCACGGTCATAAGAATAGATGAACCATACAGAGGAGCCTATTTTACATAGATTGTTGTAATTGTGGGGCTCCCGCTTGCTAAAATCAGATAATTAAATATCAGAGGTGGAAAAGAAACTGAAATTAAAACAAACACCAGGCCAAAAGTGCTGGTTATTGCTGAGCATACTTCCCCAGGAAGCTCGACCTGCTGGCGTGAAAGTGTAGATCAGAACAGGGTTCTCATCAGCGTAATAACAGCGTAATGGGTTGTTACGCAGCTGCCTGAAAAAAAAAAAAAATTACGCTGCTGATTGGGCCATGACGTTGTTTTCGCAGGTGTGAAATGGGAAAATTATCAATTTTCTATGCAGATTGTACCGGGCTGACTTACATGTATTCAGGCCAATATTTAGCAGCCAGCACCAATGCTGAGTTTTGGCTTGTTTTGACATCTATCCACATGTGTTTATTTGCTTCCCATGTGGGTTATCTAGGTTAATTTATACCAATAGGGTGCCCAAGATCGGCTCCGTCATGCACGTGCTGCTACCAAGAATTTCCTCATTGCTCTCATAGCTTTGTTGTAACTTCATAAATGTTACCCATCAATGCCGGAAACGCGCGTTTCTGTGTGTTTGAGAAACCATGAAGGCTTCCACGCAAGATATGCCTTGTTTACACAGCACTGGCTGAGTGTGTTGGCCTGGGAATTCCCCAGTGACTGACAATATTTTAGCCAATCAATTATGTCCTTACAAAACGTTCAGGATTGTTCGTTTGGATGGTATGTATTTTAGGATGATTCTTATTCGATGATCAATCCTGAAGATTCCTGCAAGAGGCTGGAAATATTCATAAGTCATGCTGTTAGCTCATGTTGCTCCAGCAACGGTCAAAATTGCATGCGTACGCAGGTACCATTCTCGCGCCCCCCATTACCGCCAGCACAGCTAGCTCGCTTGCTATGCATGCTCGCTCATGTGCTGTACTGTGTGTGCGCGCATGTCACGCATGTGTGCTACCTAGCATCGCCCTCACCTCGAGCAACGTTTCCAGTTATGTGATGTGCTACATGACAATGCTGCAAAATAAACTGACATTGTCGCTCAACACAGTTGTCTATTGTACCTTGTTTTTGTACAGTTTTATTTGTAAACTTAAACAGCGAACTGCATCCCTCACTCACAGCGGGAGCGGCGTCTCACTATTGTTACGTTTCATGGCGTCATTAAAGTGAATTGTAATTGAGGAGGAAAAGCAGCTGATAAAGTAAAACTAAATTGAGAAACTCTTTTTACATCCACAAAGCTAAAACAAAAAAGAAATGTAAACTGCATTTTACGTGTTCTCATTCAAATAACAAAATGAATATGCTTTTCTTTTAATGAGCAGACGCAAGGATGACAGTGTGCATGCAAATATAGGCAGCCGACAGAACGTCCACCAAAAATGTAAAAAAAAAAAAAAAAAAAAAAAAAAACAGAGTGAACAATATGCGAGATAAAAATAATGAGTTATTAACCAATCGTGTTTTAAAGCAACATAAAGAGGAATTGAGCGTGGAGACGATGGCTGCGTTGGAATAGTCCTTTTTGCTTAGGAAAGTTCCTAACTCCTAGAAAACGATCCAGAAGTATTGGCAGTCATGATAAGAGTGTTTGGATTCTTTAAATGTAAAGGAAAGGTGCTACAATGCTTCCTAATTTATCACCTTTAGCACAGGGTACACTGAGGCATCCTTTTCGAAAAGAAAGGCGGAAATGCTATCCCACAATTCCGCGATGACCGTCCATCCGGCCAATCACAAAAACAAACAAACATTACGGCAGGAGGCGGGTGATCACTGTGCCAAGTGTAAGTGCATCGGATTCTCTTATTAGCGCGGTTCTCTTCCTAAGCTGTAAAAGTCCCCTTAACACATTTCCTTTACCTCATGACTTTTATACAGGTTAAAGAAAAGTGGTTAGGAATTAGACGATAGGACGTAATTTTTTTCACTTTTCGGATGCAGCCAATGAGTGCGTATACACGGTGTTTTTCAGAAACGTTTATTATTGACTAACCGTGTACACGTGTACACGTTTATCAGTCCCACCCCTAGTGAGAACGATAGTTAAACTTGGTATACAATATTATTTTATTCAAAGATGAAATGAAATCGTTCTCTCAATAAAGAAATAAGTTCCCTCGATTCATCGTACCCTTGCGTCTAAGACTGGTGAGAAGAAACACGATGATAAAACAGAATGCCAACTCTTCTTCCTGCACAGATCTGCACGGAATTGAGTACTTTGTACAGGCAAAAACAAAACAACTCAGCTTGCCAATGGGATTATTGAGACTAAAACAAAAATACCGGGAATTCTTGGTAAGTGTGTTACTCGCGTTCCACTACAAGTTCGATCAAAGCTAGCATGGTAGACACAGGTTGTAAGTGTATATTGTTAGTTGTCAGGGTTGCGATATACACATACGGAGCACACCATGTTCTGTGTCTCCTGTGCGAGCTATGATTGAATGCCCTCTTTTGGAACTGCCAAAATGATGGACAGCCGACAATGCGTTAAAAATTTGGTAAATGACAAACAATTTTTAGTTCCCGCATCCCCTGAAATGTAAATATTTTTCCATTTATAATATGTTACTTACTACTTATGGACAAAATGGAGAACAGCAAGTACTATGCTAGCAGCCAGTGGCATGAACTTTCAAAAAAATCCAAACTCTGGCTTGGTAGATGCAGAGGATGTTATATTCAATCTGTTGTCGAGTCGCACAAACTACTCTATTTGTACTGTACGCGTTCGCTTTTGTTTATCAACCAGTGCGGCTAGGTTGAGCAAATGTACCTGCCACGTCACAAAATCACCCAAATTTGTCCAGTGGCAGGTGCCAATTTCCCACCCCAATGAGCCTGATGCAGCAAGCATTGACATGCACCTTCATACGCACACTCACACAAAAGCGTGCATGTGTACAGACACAGACAACACAGATACACGTGTGAACTCATGCAAACATTAGCAAATGCAAGTGCAAACAACAAAGAAGGAACTACAAGTCTTCCATCCCAGAGCGCTGTGCCATCCTGTCTAAAATGTGAACTAGCCAGAATAACCACTCGACAATGCCTCAGATCTTGCCAAGCTGTTATCAAGTCTTCCCCTTTCCTCGTCAAGCTAAGTGCTAAGTGCCAACAACAGGTTGTTTCAATCACTTAAAATCACTTCCCCGAAATCCTCAGAAACAAAAAAGCAGCATCCTCGTATTCACATAAGAAAACATCTTGATAGCAACTCGAGTCAAGATTTCTCTGCATGAATAAGAGCTAAAATTCAACTCTGAGGCATATTTCAGAAAATGCAGCGTATTTAAAAAAAATACTCGGGCAGCAAACCTTTCCAGAAAAAAAATAAAATAATAAATATAACAAGCAGACAGAGTCAACAATATCCCCTGCCACCCCACAAAAGTTGAAGGGGTTGAAATCAAAATTTATTTTGTTAGTGCAGAAGTTTTTGACTTTTTGTAGAAGCAAGTAAATCTCCTTTATAAATCCACTTATGTAGGAAGAACCTCAACATCAAAGTTACCCAAGTTCCATTTTATGGAATAACATTTTGTATTTAAAGGGCCTATTGGAAGGGTACAAACTATGACTAAAGCCATTTCCTAGTTGAGTCAAGAGTAATAGCCCCCGATCAGCTGGTGGTGAGAATAGTAGACTGGTGTCTGGAATACTGTGACATCACCTCTGTGAAGAACAAATCCAGTACATCACCAAGAACATGGGTTGGACAAGATATTTGTTGGGTGAGGTCATAGCATGAGAACAGTTCACACAATCTGGCGTTTCTTGGTGCATCACTGTTGAAG